TGCATCATGTAGTTGAATGCCGACCAGAACCACCGTAATTATTCCTGGCAATCGGTAGATCGCCGAATGTTTCGGCAGTCAGCGATTTGTCGAGCGAATTCAAACCGGCTGTATGGATGAACATTCCGGGAGATCTCGTTTCGTCAGGTTGCCGGCTACCGAAACATTTAGTGATTTGGTCGTGAATCCAAGCGCCGACTTCTGCATTCGACCACCTGTCGCTACCAACGCTACTGTCATGCAAATATTCCACTGAACGGATGGTTTTTGATTGTGTTTTACTGAGCATTGGTATTTTCCGTTTGAATGCGAAATGGTGACTTCACACAATAGACATATCGAGAACCATTACCATTAACTCGAATCGCTTCGTCTTCACTATCGAAAGACACGACCTGTGAATTGAACGCTGTGCATGTTTGAGTTGCAGTTTGGTAGTTGACTGTTCCACGATTCTGAACAGGATCAGATTCGTTCAAGTGTTTAAACATTTCTTTGCTTAGTCACCAGAACTGTGGATTTCCTCGTCCAATGCAATTATTTACCGACTTGCGACTGTTAGACTCACGACAACTCATAATAGGACATTGAATGATAGCAATACAACAGCAAACAGTAAAATGATCAATTGTTAAAGTAATTTGTTCTTCTCGGAATCTTTCTTAATTCCGATATCTGTACATGCATTACCTATCATGAACTCACCAATAAATAGCAATTGTTTTCAATACGATGCCATCCACTCGGACACTCTCTACGGAGAACAAAATTATCGCAGTAGCAATTACGACCGTTATATGTCCAACCCTCAGGACATACTGAATTTATTCATTATATCATAATGAAGCAAAATATGATTCTAACAATAAGTGAACATAACCTATTAATTTGGCTGCTTAATGAAGCATTTCTTAATAAAGTAACGAAAATAAAGCATTCTAAAAGATCACTTTTGCTTGATGTTTTGTGAGGACGTGGAATGATAAAATATTTTCAGTTTGTAGTGATAATGATAAAATAAAGCATTCTTAAACAA